GAAGTCACAAGACAAATTTTCTATTTCAGGAGATGAACTAAAAGAATGACTAAATCCAGCTGCTTCCTCAATACTCATACCAATAATGAAAACAGAAAGAATTTTAAATGATCAAAAGTTTCAACTTACACATTTAATGTAACTTAAGAGGTACAGCAAATAATGTTCTCTCCTTCACTCCTTTCAAAAATTCCCAAGTTTGAAAACCACAGAACTAAAATGAATCCATACCATATCCACCAGTGCAGCAACCGAAAGTTTGCAGAACACAGCCAAGGCACATTCAGTGTTCCATGGGAGATAAAACAGAAGATATGTTATCTTCATCATCAAGAAACTCACACTCTGGAGAGCCTGGCTGGCTCAGTCGGAAGAGCACCTGACTCTTGATTTCACGTTGTGAGTTCGAGCCCCACATTGGGTGTTGAGATTATATACATACATAAATACATAAACAAATTAAAAGAAACTCACACTCCAGCCTAAAGGATGGTCAGAATGTTTGACACAACCTTTCTGAATGACCTAGAGGTACAAGGAGCCATGTGATAAACATACCCATTGTTTACTATGGCTAATTTTTCTATCTTGGCGTAGGCATGTCATTTAAAGAAAATATAATACTTAAAAGTAACTGGCAGGTATATTTACCTTCCAAATGTTCCCCAAACACTGCTTGGGAGTGAGAACTAAGAAATGAGTCTGCCCTGATATTAATAAGCAAGGACAGAGTGCACAGGTTACTAAACCTGCCAGACCAGAGTCCTCAACTATCACATACAGAATAGACCAGATGCAGAATGGAAAGTGTTTTTATTTCTTCAAAAGCCAATTTCAATTAACTGGTGATGAGCACCTCCAGGCCTTTGCTGAGATGGTTAGATCCTTTTAGTAAAAAGCCATATTCTGTGTTCCTTGCCCCCAGAACTTGGGTGTTTGAGTTGCTCTTACTAACATCAGAATGTTCACTGGAGTCGGGCACCTGGGTGGCTCAGATGGTTAAGCGTCTGCCTTCGGCTCAGGTCATGATCCCAGGGTCCTGGGATCGAGTCCCGCATTGGGCTCCCTGCTCCTTGGGAGCCTGCTTCTCCCTCTGCCTCTCTCTCTCTCTCTCTCTGTCTCTCATGAATAAATAAAATAAAATCTTTAAAAAAAAAAAAAATGTTCACTGGAGTCGTTTTTCCAGCAGCAGCAACGTGTTGCACATCCACATGCTCTCTTCAGTCTTCTTTGTGATCAATGGTTGCAATTCAGTTCAAAGAAGCTACAAAGTGTGGCTGTGTAACTGAGCACTTCCCTGATTGTGAACAGATAGTAACACCTAACATGTATTAATGTTTAAGATGGAGCCAACACTTAACACGTATTAATGCATTTAATGTCCAAATAGTCTCTAGGATATACATTCCATCATCATCATCCCCATTTTGCAGATGAGAAAAGGAGACACACCTAGGTGAAGCAACTTGCCCAAGGCTTTAAAGTGGGTAAGTAATAGAGCCACAACTTGACCAGAGGCAGTCTGGCTCCAGATCTCCCACTCTGAACCACTTTGCTGACTGCTGCTCTGTAAGCTGCACATTGACCAAACCTACAACTTCAGTTCTGTTAATGCTTTCCACGGAGAAAGCCAGAAGTCCAGGTTTCATGGTGGTGTAAGTCTATATTTTATCTGCAGTTCTGAAATGCTTACTCTCTTCAAGGGGCCTGGATTCTGGTAAAGAGTACTCAATTTACCCATACCTTGGGCTTTGGTAGATTATTGGGCGTATTTTTTTAAATCGAAAATTTCCTAAGTCATGTATTCCACCACATAAAATACACCCTCCATTTAACAGAACCCTCATGAAATGCAAGTTTTCAGGTTAAAGCAATGTTCCCATTAACAGAACATTAGTCAGAAAATTGGAAGAAGCTGATTCCTAAAACAAGTCTTGGAGACATCTATACTGTGAAGAGAATTTCTGACTAGTCATTTTACAGAACTTTGCAATCATTATTCTAAACATCATTTCTCACAATACAGGAATGTAGAAGGCATATGGCCTATGAGTTTAACTGAATCTTAGCATACTTAGAAGTTGATTTTCTACATACACACATTCTAAGGGGGGAAAAACCACTTCCCAAGTGATTTGCTGAATATGTAGTCTTTATTAATCCTTACTAAAGCAGATGTAAACTTGCCCCCCCAAAAAAATGACTTCAAGGAGTAAGAGAACAAAATAACTTTTAAAAGAATTTGTTATATACAAGTCATACTCCAATGTGTAAATTATCTTCAGGTGCTCCCAGTGCACCCTTTTCCATATTACTACACTTCAGATCATATACATTAAACAAACCAACCACCTGGCTTGTCTCCAAATTCAAAATATATGGTATCCTATGTAAAGAGCAGCTCTGTATTTTTTAATTTCCATTCCTGATATCAACAATGTAATAAATTTACATTCAAGTTTCGAATCTTTAAAGTACAGCATAAAAAGAATAGAACTACATATGCAATAAAAATTAAATGAATATTAAGAACATTTTGAAAGAATGCTAGCTCTTAAGAGGAAATCAGAAGTTTAAAAAAATACTCCAGTTGCTGAAAAAATGTTACTGGCTGTGGTTTAAATTCTTTATGTTCCCCAACAGGAAAAGAGGAGCAGGTACCCACATTATATAACATGTATGTACTACTATTCATCTGTATCTTGAAGCTTTCTTATTTTACATAAAATTAAAATTTTAAAAACCAAAGTTTTAATATTTTCTTCCAAATGAATCATCTGGCACCCCACCTCAGAGACCCTAATACCTATAAAAAATTCATGATTTCTAATCTCCGATAGTCCCACACTTAGAGGAACAAAATTAACCACTTTTCCATTTATAAATTGTTTTAAGTGAATTACCATCAATAAGAATTAGTCATTCTTTGACCACAGGTTAAGGGCCAGTCCCCACCCCACCACTTCCACATTTTCCATTCCTAACTTTGTTAACAATGGGAGCTGGCTGGTGAGCTTGGGTCATTTTTAAAGCAAGAAGTAGTGATCTAAGATGTAAATACACTCTAGCACCATAATTAAGAGAATGAAACGTGTATATATATATGGTTTACCTTTCATTAGACAGCTCTTTCTAGACTTGACCCACTGTGACCTGCCAATTCTCCTTACCCTTGCCTCTGCCATCAGAAACTACTACTGTATGCATGAAAAGCCAAGGGCCATGAAAACCAAGAGGAAGTCTCCCGTGTTCTCACAAAAGAAGTTTTTATGAAGAACAAATTAAGTTCACTTTTTGAAATGTATAAACCACATAACAACAAAACCACAAGAGGGAAACAAAAAACTAAGTACGGTAAAGGTAGTAAATATTTTTATGACAATCCTGTTACTACATTACTCCTAGCTGTAAATTTCTTCCTCGGTTTTAGCTCTCTCCAGCACAAACTTATTCTCAGGCAGTGGGTCATGAGGCCACTCTGTGTTTAAACACAACCTCAGCACCACTTGGCCACTTCCTAAGACTGCTCTTGCACTTCATCCACTCATTACCTGTATCAAAACAGACAACCCTTCAGCCCTCTGAAGCAACCCCTCTTGAGCGCTCCTTGGCCTTGTATGGTGGAGGCATGTGATAAGCATATCTGCACCAGCTGTTCTTAATTACCTCTCAGGCTGGGTGAATGACTCAGCAAACCAACTTTTTTAAGGAGTCACCCTACCTTGTTATCCAACCAACATATTGAACAATGGTAAACCACTAGACCCAGCCGTGTTAAACAACAATAACACACCATGCGATGCAATCACTAAACCAAAGCCATCCCACTCCAAGCTGACTCACCAAGAGTCCTTTTCTCCCCAGCTTCTTTAGCCAAAGACAGAAGTGGCAAGTGCCTTCAAGCCCAACCCAGCCCAGCCCTTGCACCACCACCCAAGACCAGGAAGAAGCCAGCCTACCTCTTCCCATTTCTCTGCTTGACCATGTGAAGAGCTCAAGTGCTCGGTCACCAACACGTCCGGTGCCCCCGCTCCCCGATCTTTCTGGACTGCTCTAAATGCAAAGCCTCCGGATATAAAGAGCGTTAAAGTATATGAACAAAGCCCCAGGAGTGGCATCCACCATGGGTAACAGTCCCAACACTGATACAGTTCTCCAAATAGATAAGCATCCCTACAAAACAGCCTTTGTTCCTTCAAGCATCGCACAGTAGCTTGCTTTTCCCACACACGTCTTCCACGATTACTACTACACTATACCTTAATCAGCCCAAGTTTAACGCAGAAGGCTCACTGCACAAAGGCATTCCGCACAATGCTACTCAGTGACATAAAACCGCCGCGCAAGAATGAGAAAGCAGTGGCACTCGGACTCCATTAGACCAGCACAAAGCTGGTGTCTCGGTCATCAGCGCCCACCCTCACCACACTGTGGGAGTCTTAATTACAACGCGTGGGCAAAACTCCAACAAAGGGAGCTCCGGGATGTCCGCTCCTCCAAACCAATCCTGGCTCAACCCGGCCCCGCAAGGTGGCACTTCTGCTCCAGCCACGACCTCGGCCATTCTTAACGTGACTCCACGCGCCGCAGACACCAGGCCAGGCAGACCGGAGGCAAGCAGCTCGCGGGACGCGGCGGCTGCCGAGAGTGGTAGGAGGGGGCGGGAGGACGATACGGAGCCCGGGCCGGCCGCGCGGGCGGTGCTGATGTGTCAGTCCGGGCGGGCCGCCGCTAGGAGGGCCGCCCCGCGGCCCCGGGCGCTTCCCCGCCCCCCGCCCCCCCGCGCCCCCCGCGCCGGCCCCGGGGGAAAGTGCAGCGCGGGCCGGTAAACAACAGCGGGGCCGCGCGCCAGCAGCCCTGGGCGCGGGCAGGTCGCCCCTTCCGGCGGCCGAGGCCACTTCCAGGAAGAGGGGCCGCCGCCGCCCCCCGCCCACAAGGCCGCCGCCCGCCTCCCCGCCCCCCCGGGTCTGCCCGCGGGCGGCCCCTCGCAGGCGGGCAGCCCGGACCGCGTGCCGCCGCGCCGACCCTGCCGGGAAGGACGCGACGGACGCCGAGCCACTCACCAGAGCCGAGGCGCCGCGCGGCCCGACTGACGGCAGCGAGCGAGCCCGGCGGGCGGCGCGGGCAGCGGTCAGGTGACTCACTCCCTCCCCGCGGCCGTCCGCCCCCTTTCCTCCCCTCCCTCCCCTCGCTTCTCCTCCCTCCTCACCCCCCTCCGCCGCCGCGGCGGCTGCCGCCACCTCCCCGCGCCGAAACTCCGCCCGCCGGAGGCCCCGCCCGCCCGCGGCCCTAAGCCCCGCCCCCACGGAGGCCCCGCCCCCGCCCGAGGCCTCAGACGGCGGGTTGGGGCCGGCCTAAGCCCCGCCCCCGCGGAGACCCCGCCCCCGCCCGAGGCCTCAGACGGCGGGTTGGGGCCGGCCTAAGCCCCGCCCCCGCGGAGACCCCGCCCCCGCCCGAGGCCTCAGACGGCGGGTTGGGGCCGGCCTAAGCCCCGCCCCCACGGAGGCCCCGCCCCCACCCGAGGCCTCAGACGGCGGGTTGGGGCCGGCCTAAGCCCCGCCCCCGCGGAGACCCCGCCCCCGCCCGAGGCCTCAGACGGCGGGTTGGGGCCGGCCTAAGCCCCGCCCCCGCCCGAGGCCTCAGACGGCGGGTTGGGGCCGGCCTAAGCCCCGCCCCCACGGAGGCCCCGCCCCCACCCGAGGCCTCAGACGGCGGGTTGGGGCCGGCCTAAGCCCCGCCCCCGCGGAGACCCCGCCCCCGCCCGAGGCCTCAGACGGCGGGTTGGGGCCGGCCTAAGCCCCGCCCCCGCCCGAGGCCCCGCCCCCGCCCGAGGCCCCGCCCCCGCCCGAGGCCTCAGACGGCGGGTTGGGGCCGGCCCGGATCCCGGTGGCAGTGGCGGCTGCAGGGGCTGTCCTCGCCCGAGGCCCACGGGAGAGGTCGTGAGCGGGGACCGCGCCGGCCCGGAGCAGACTCCGGGGGGTGGCGACGGCGGGGTCCGCGCACGGCTCCCCTTTTCGAGCACACCGGCCGCCTGAACGGAAAGGCCACCGAGGACCACCTCCTCCTCCTTCCCAAGTGTGGGCAGAAAGGAAAAGGCTGACAGCCTCCTGGCCCCAAGTGTTGCCAGGACGCTCGGAATTGAACGAACCTGCCCATAGCCCAGAGTCTGGCGGACAACAGGGGGTCCCTTCCCAGACCCCTCCCCTGCCATCCCTTAAGGGTGGCTGGGCGCCCAGGTCCGCAAGGTGGTTTGAGCTTGATGGTAGGATGTATCGAGTGCATCCAGGATTTTGTGGAAAGCATCTGGCAGCCCTACTTCTTTCTGACAAAGAAAATGAGGGCGTCCGGCTAACAGGTGTTTCCCTTTAGGCTGTGGCTGCCAGGAAACTTGGAGCCAGGTTCAGCGCCTAGTGGTGTCAGCCGGCCCCGCTCGAGCCCTGGTCGGGCTTTCCTCCTCCGGTGCTTGTTCCAATTGTCAATTTTAAAATTATGTTCCCAAGCCATTTAGCACCTCTGGAGTGCAAAGCACTGTCGTCTTCGAAAAGATACACACGGGGCAAAGCCCAAGCTTATCAATCTAGAGAGAAAACTGAGACTGTGCCAGGCAACCTGATTGGAGTTCCGATGGTCTGTGTGAAGGGATTTTGCTGTCGGCTTTGAGTTCAAGTGGAGAGAGAAGAGGCGATGGAGAGAAATTGGTGGCTGGACAGCCGCAGCACCAGGGTGTGTGGACTCATTCTTGGACACAGGAAGACAGCCCTGGAGCTCCCAGGGCAAAAAAAAGGTTACCAAGATAATAAAGTCAGGTATTATCACTAACGTGACTGCGTGTGTACTTACAGGTTAGGGACAGTTGAGTTTTATCCGGAATACATGAGAAAGTGACAAGTGCAAGGAGTGAAGTGATTCACTATGACTTCAAATCAGGGCAGGAGGCGACACTGCATTGGGTCTTAACTGGGAAGAATGGGGCTCTGCAGTATACAACATGCTCTTAGTCCACAGGTAGGAGGCAGATGGCATTCCAGACTGCCAGAGTTCAGGTATATTTGGGGTACAAATGTACGCTGAGAAATGAGGAAAGAACACAGACCATGAAAGGCTTTGGGTTATTCCACATGCGAGAGTTTTTAAGGCTTCACTCTCCTTCCACCCTAAGCCAATGAAATTATATTCATCTTTCCTCCCACACTTTTACAGTTTCTTCTAGATAACAGATCCTCCCCTTTGGGAGGAACTCTTCCTTCTTTAGATGATTGTGGTGATATTTTCTAGCACAACCTCTGATATGCTTCGTTATTTGAAAAGTCTTACAGATGTGTTGAGGAGACCAAGACAGCTAAGAATGACTCTCCAGTTTTAATGTGAGAATCTCCGGGGTGCTTGTTAAAAATACAAATTCCTGGGCCCTGCCCCAAAGATTCTGATTTCATAGGTCTAATTAGTACCCAAGGATCTGCATTTTTAATAGTGACACTGTTGGTCTTCAAACCACACTTGAGAAGTACTGAGTTAGAGCTTATGGTGTGTAGTAGGGACAGGGTAAAAATTAAATTAGAGAATGAACTAAAACCAAGTCAGAATGGGCCTCATACACTGTTCCTAGAGTTTGGCCTTTATGCCATGGGCTGAAGGGAGTATGTAGAGGTCTCTAAGTCATATGCTTGTTTTTAGAAGCTAATTCCAGAGAACTTCATTCACTCCATTTCTGTTGCTTTAGCTCCTTTTGTCTTTAAAAATTCATGTGCTATCCAGTCAACAAAATTTGGGGGGGGGGTCAAAAAATAGGCTTTAATCTGTGGGTGATTACCAAGATAAATAAACATCGGTCTCACCAACTTGAAAAACTTCCAGTTGACACTTCTTCCCTCCAAAGGGTATGTGATTGAAACCATACCTCCCCTGACCCTGGTTGGGAGATTTTTGTTGAAAATGGACATGTTTTATTAGAAAACAATGAGGACATCCTGGAGCAGCATGGACGAACATGCCCTAGTGTTTAACTGACATCTGAAACAAAGGGGAAGGGGATTTAACCTCCAGCTTGAGATGTGCATAGAGTCTAAGATCAAAACAACGAAAAAAGGCAGATAAAGGAGAAAAAAGAAGACCGTATTGGAGAAGAGCTCAATGGAACAAGGGCCAAACTGGTGACAGTGGTGCTGCCCAGGCACCAGATTTAATGACAACTGAAGTGGTTCGATGGAGAATCCCAGCATGGAAAAATTCTTGTGCCTCCAAAAACCAATCGGACGCCAGAGTGGACTAACGATGGCTGTGAAATTTGTGTCACCCTCCTCGTCAAGAAGGGGAGTTTCTTTTTCATCCCCTAAATTTGTAAGAAGAATCACAACCCCAATGATTAGGGCTTAGAGGGAAGTTCAGATCGATAAGGCAAAATATATAGAAGAGACTTTCATTTTAAGCCTGTGTCAAGCTCTCTGATCTGACACTTAAAATTTCCCACAATTACTGATGGTGCCCCATATTTCCCTCACTCCATGGGATATATTTATATAATGAAGTAGAGAAAGTGTTATTGTCTCAGAAGGTCATGCTGGACATTGTACGTATTATGTAATTAATAAATGAATGAATAAACAAATAAAATTACTGAAGTTACTAAACGTTTGATGCAAGTGCCTTCCTGTGGAGCCAGTGACATTTGTGCTTGTTGCTGAGTCAGAAACAGCACATACAGAGCCTTCAGCCAAGGTCACATGTCTGCAAAGAACAGAGAAAAATCCAGCCTGATGGCTTTGTTATATGTATTTGTTGATGTTGACATCAAGGATTATAGAGCCTGCAGCTCTTGATCTTTTACCTTTAAAATTCATGCAAGTATTAAATTCTACTCCATAATATATTTGTTTTAATAAAAATGTCCTCAAAACTATGTACATATAATATATATAAATGTACTATATATATACTTAGGAAAAGTGATACAGTCGGTAGACGGGCTATATTTTTTTTTATTCTTATGTTAATCCCCATACATTACATCATTAGTTTTAGATGAAGTGTTCCATGATTCATTGTTTGTGCATAACACCCAGTGCTCCATGCAGAACGTGCCCTCCTCAATACCCATCACCAGGCTAACCCATCCTCCCACCCCCCTCCCCTCTAGAACCCTCAGTTTGTTTTTCAGAGTCCATCGTCTCTCATGGTTCGTCTCACGAGGGGCTATATTTTAACTCACCTCTGGCCTATACCATTTTATTCACCTAGAGCAGTGGTCTCAACAGAGGCCAATTTTGCCACCCAGGAAATATTGGTGTTGATAAGGAGGGGCGGGGACGCTACTGATATCTAGTGGAGAGAGGTCAGAGATGCTGTTAAACATCCTACAGTGCACAAGACAGTCCCCATGGATTAAAAAACCTTGTGAATAAGCACACTTTATTCCCCATTCCCAGCAAAGAATTCTCTGGCCCCAAGTGTCAGGAATGCCGAGGTTCGGAAGCCCTGAGCTAGATGTACTCGTGCTCCAATACGAGAAATGTGTATATATCCTTGATAGAGATGAGCTACCGAACTTTCTGTAGCTTCCTAACAGCCAGGTAAAAAGGAAACCTGATCAGTCAGGACTGAGCTAACTGGGGGTTGGGCTGAAGTGACCGCAGTGAGAGAAAGAAGTACTGAAGGCCTAGGGAAGAGAAAATGAGCCCAGGCTGTGAGGACCCTGCCCACCCCCTACACCACCCCACCACACCCATCACAACAACCTGTTCCCCCAGACTGGGCTGCTGTAGGTAGGAAGCACTTTGGAAATGGAGTAGAATTATGGCTGAACTCTGAGATTTAAAAGCTATAAAAGGAGACCTATTGGATCAGAGGACAGATGGGCATATTGCCACAAAGAGATAGAACTGTCACTTGGGGTCGCTGGATTTTCACTATTGGCCACTCCAGACTCCCTCTCTAGTCTTCTCCACCCTGCTCTGTGCTGCAGGATGAAGATCTCTATTCACAAAAACCATGGGTTCCCCTGCTCGCTCGCTTCTGGTTGTATTTGGATAATGGGAGGCATCAACAGGAACATAGCTGTTTCTCTGCCAGGCAATAGATTGGCTGTAGCCATATTCTTCTACCAAAGACCTCAGTTCTTGTCAGGCAACCTTCACCTAGAGCTATAGCCAAAGCAGCATCATTCTAGGAATGAGTGTTATACCTCCCCACTTTGGTGAGAGCCCCGGGATGCACCACTGTCCCTTGGCGGGTTACCTGTCCTCACTCTTGTAAGTGGTCCCATATGTTTCTTGCCAGTTTCCTGACTGATTCACCAGGCCCAGACTTGGGGGTAGCTAGAATGAATATATGAACACATATCAGGAGAGTCAAAAAGGGGAGTTCCTCAAAATGTGAAGCCAAGAAAAGGGAGGACCAGAGGCATAAACACAGGCACACATCCCTTGTGCTGCCCAGGGGGGGAGGGTGCATTGGCCAAGGATACAGTATTTTCTTCCTGAGTACTATTTTATTCCTGAGTACATCGGGAGGAGAGGAGCCGCAGGCTACTGTGGTTTGGTTCCACTAGATTAGCCATCAAGGTCGCCCTACTCACATCCCTCTTTGGTCTCCTTCTAATGATTTGGCTTCACATACATTTGCCTGAGATTGTTTGGTTGGTGAACATTTGGTACACTTGCTGGCAACATTCTCATTGTGAACTAATAAATTATCTTTGTGATCTTCTTCCTGCTCTGCAGCTTTGGGTGAGTGTGCATCCGAAAGACAAACTGACACCAATTATCAGCAGCTCAGGTTCCTGCATCTGCAAGGTCAGAATGTGGGAAGTTTCACAAGGCAAAGCCCAACGTGGCTTGGTCCAGGTGCTAGCTACTTCACAGAAACACTCTGTATGTTCATCATTAGTGACTTCTGGACTGACCTTTAGACCAGGGACACTTTAGTCCCATTCACTTCCCTTTTCCTAAATCCTTTTGGCAGACCTTGCTAGTTGTCTCCCCAATCCCCCTTCTTCCTTTCTAACATGATTCTAATTGTGCTCAAAAACACTTAAAAACACCACCTCAGACTCCATTAGCCATGTGACCTAGCTCTGTTCAACCAGATATAAGCAAACATGCACTTTATGGAAATTCCAGGAAAGCTCTTACTTTCCTGATAACAGAAGAGCAAATCAGCTGGTATGCACTTTTTTACCCTCTGCCCTCCCAGTCAAAAGACTGGAGATGGAGCTCTTTTCTTTCATCCTTGAGGATGAAAACCACAGACTCAGGCTAGCTGAGCAGGAAGCTAAAAGGAAGCTAAAAGGAAGCTCCGATCCTTGATGGCTGCCCTGAGCTGCTGACCAGCCCTTGTTGTGGGGTTCACTTTCTAATCGTCCAAGAGAAAGAAAACCCTATTTGGTTAAGCTTCAGGAGTTCAGTTTCTATTACATGAAGCCAAATACAGTCTCAACTGATACCCCTTCTTCATCTCAAGGCTTTGACAGTTCCCCCCATATCATTCTCTTTAAATGCATGCGCTGAGAACCTCTGCAGGCATGCATCCTAGGTTATGTGGGAATAAATGGATTGTTATGAGCATATGCAACCTGCACACATGACCTTGGAAGCTAGCAAATGAATGGCAGTCAGTAGCAGCATAATAGTGTTGAGAGTAGAAGGGCAAAAAAATAGATCTTATTTATGAAATTATGAAGACTAATATTATTGACTTCAGGACTGCCACCTCCTCTTAGATATAACTAGGTCACAAATAAGAAAACAGAGATGCAGAGAAGCGAGTAAAAATACTCTGATAAAATTCCAGGAAGTGGCTCTTTGAAACATCGGACAGCTGCCAAA